GCTGGATTAACTAACTTCTCTCTCTAATTTTCGACCATCAATGGTAAAGTGAGAGTCAAAACAAACTCAAGCAGAATCCCCTCCTTATCTCTTGCCGCTCCTCTTCACCCTTCCTGCCCTGTCTGAAGCTATGTTATATGTGGTCATGACAGCCTGAGACAATTGTGGCAGTCAGGTAGCGCAGCAGTAATAACCAGCTCCAGAACTGATGTATATGGAATATAGAGCCCGTGTTTTTTGGTGGTATTGCAGCAACACAGTGTCAAATAAAGAGGTTTATGTTTTAATGATATGCATACATGTCTAATGTTGTTTGCAGCAGATGTATTCGTAGGGGTGTGGAAGAAATGTATGGAGATAAAATACTATCAAAAATGTTACAAATGCATGTTTAACGTTTTGTCTGTAACAAGCGATTTATGTGTGTGTGTCATGCTGTTCACAAATGCGTGCTGTACAAACTGCACATAAAACACATTTTACAAATGCTTAAAATCGATTTTTCGTGTGCAGTTCTTTAGAAAGTACGTACACGTTGCTACCTACGCATGCGTGGATCATCTAACACACACAAATCACCTTCCGCGCACACACAGATTTTTGAGAGTGTTTTTCCGCACTCTCAAAAGGCCACGATCCACGAATGCACGTTCTAAATTTTTATATATTTAAAATTTAGAAGTTATGAAGCTAAAGTTAATGTTCCGCCCTGCGGAGTTTATAGTTTTTCAGTAGGGCATATTTTAGTGATGCACATATTCCTCCCAACGGAGTTTGTTGTTGTTTTCCAGTGGGACATGTTTTAGTGATACACACCGCCAATAAGTTTAGCATGAAAACAGTCACAGGTTGTCTCTCCTTCGAATCTACGTATCGAACCATCCACTTATCTAGCATAGCACAACAAACCGTGGAGCATATATTTAATATATATAAAAATTTAGAACATGCACCACAAACTGCAGGCAACTGGAATGTTCTCTGTTAAAACGTGTTATGTATTAGATATTTTTGTTTATTTTATGTAATGTCCATTTGGAATAGCATTGTGTAAATACTTTTGTTTGGGAAACTGGTTTGGAAACTCAGATTTCCGAGTTTTCCACGTGTCCTTAAACGCACCGTGCATTCGTGGATCGTGGACTTTTGAGCGTGCGGAAAAACACTCTCAAAAATCCGTGTGTGCGCGGAAGGTGATTCGTGGGTATTAGACGATCCACGCATGCGTAGGTAACAACGTGTACGTACTTTCTAAAGAACTGCACACGAAAAATCGATTTTAAGTATTTGTAAAATGTGTTTTATGTGCAGTTTGTACAGCACGCATTTGTGAACAGCATGACACACACACGCAAATGGCTTGTTACAGACAAAACATTGAACACGCATTTGTAACATTTTTGATAGTATTTTATCTCCATAGAAGTGTGGTGTGGATTTGAACAACACTGGCAACAGAGGGCAAGAAATAAACGCAAGGCCTGAAGATAGCAGAATCAGATGGGGGGATAATACAGCAGGGAGACAACACTTCTAGCTAATTTTTACATGATTTATCATTTATCCCAATTTGTGCTAAATCTTAATGCAGCTTAAAAAAAAAACAACTTAGTACACAGTTGAACAGGCTGTGTTCATATTCATACGATGCAGTATTTGAATGAGCAAACCCCCAAAAGCTAGGAAATAGTGCTCACCATCACAGGGAAACTGCTGGTGTCTTGCTTCAGAGCTTTAACATAGTTCTGCAAGAGGCAGGCCGTTCAAACGGAAATAATCACTAATCCTGGTTCTTCAAAAATAAATTCACCTCGGTCACAAGAACACGATCATGAAGACTAGGTTTACCGGTGCAACCCGAGCATGTATCTAAACTGCCACTTGAAAATTGCAGTTTTGCAGGTTTTATATGATGGGAGGGTTGGAGGAGAATGGAGGGGTTCAG